TGTTTCTGTGTTTGAGTGACAGTGCAGATGTCACTGGCAGCCTGCAAATGCTCCCAGCCACATCCTCCCTCAGAGCTCACCTGACCTGTGACCAGTGACACTGGTGACCTCATTAACTCCCTCAGACCACCACACGTGGAAATCCTACAACTCCAGACTCCCACAACTACTGGGCTACAGATCTGGACATGATAAGAGACAATTAGGGTTTGTGTTGCTGGCAATGTATGGAAGTTATCGAGGTTGTAAAGGACAGGGAAATATGTATTTTGACTTCCTGTATGTAGCAGCAAAGGGGGAGGCTGCTCTTATGAGACAAGAATGAAGCCTGAAGGTGAAAAGCACCAAGGCAATAACAAGATGTTTGTTCCTCAGCACAGATCATTTCCATACCTGTGTTTGCCATCCTGATTAATTAAGGAAAATCTATGAGGGCTTCTTTTATAATTAACTATGGGATGCACCCTTTTATGTTTTCCATCTCACAGCAGCACTCCGTTTTCCCCACACATCTTTGGGATGTCAAAATAAACTGAATAAACTTTGGCTTTGCCTATTGAGAGAAGCCTCTGATTAACCAGCTCAGTGGATAACTGAGATAGCATCTGCAAAACCAGAGCGCCAGACAAAAAGGGAGAGGCAGAACAAGCTGCAGATAAGACAGCATTTCAGATTAAAGGAATTCAGATAAACAGGATTTTAACTGACCTTAACATTTAGAGGCACGAACGTATCCCCCTGCAGATCGCTGGTTATTTAATCCCCCTGTAACAGCTGAAAGGTTACAAAAGACACACTTGCCCCAATTAACCTGAAGCACAGACTCATCAGAGGGAGGAGCAGAGCTCGGTGTGAAGAGCAGCCCAGGCATGTGGCTTTCCTTCTGTAACCTGTCTGGGAGCAGGATGTCTGACTGGGAAGAGGACAGACCCAGGTCTTGGAGGCAGGACAGGCACTGGCTGGGTCTGGCCTCCCAGAGAGCCCTCACCTGCCTGGGGTCAAGCACAAAGGAAACACCTCCAGAAATTAAAAGCCAGGCCAGCAGCCATGACTAAGCTAATTATTGAGGTTTGTACTGAGTGAACCAGCTGAAGGCTACGTGATTTTAACCAGCTGGTACCTGAGAAAGCTGTTTCTGGCACAAAACACGCTGCCAGCAGCCCCCCCGAGGAGGGAGGACCAGCCCGAGGGGATTTGCAGCTCATCCTGCAAACCCCACGTGGCTTGGCTGGAGCTGTCACATCCAGGGCCACCAGCTTTGCACCCACCACAGGAACTTTGTCATCCACGTCCTCTCTGCTCAACCCGCAAGGCCACCAGGGCAGCTGGTCCTTTTCTGTACAGCTTCAAGTTATTTATTAAGTAAGAGGAGACTAATTGATATTTATGACCTTAACTTTGTCACTGAGCACCCAGGAGAGGAGGCTGCACCCGGGAAAGATGAGATTGTTCCCTGCTCCTCCAGGACCTGTTTGCTTGCAAAGGGGTTCCAGGAGCTGCTCCACCACAGGGTGTTTCTGTGCTTCCATTCCCTCTACGCATTCCGTGTGTGCAGGATCCCTAATTAACCAAATGCAATTAGCACCCAAGCACTCCAACTTCAAGCATTTTCGTTCTAACCTAAATGTACACAAAATAACACCTCTTCCACAAATGACTGGTATGCTGGGAGCTCTAAGGTACCTGTGCACACACAGAGCTGCAAGCACTGAAGTGTCTGTGTATAAAATGCACGGCAGAGCAGGAGCCAGAGACCCTTATTAATCCTTAGAAAACAGTCAAGACTTGATCCTTTGCAGGCTACACTTCTCCTTTTTGAATCAGCAGTAGATATGATCATCTCTCCTTTGGGTTTCCAGGGTACTGTTTGTACAGGTGAGGTTATGTGGATGCAGTGCTGGTGCAAGCTGGAGAACTCCATCCAGTGCAAGGCCGAGCCCTTGGTGTTAACTGCATCCCACATTTCCTTCATGTGGAGGGAACTCACCTCTGCATCAGGTCACAGATGTCACAGATCTGATTTTGGCCAACATTTGAATAAGTTTTACTTTGCACCACATGAGAGCCTTTATCCAATGTGTTTTTTGACTTTTAAGCACAAACGTCCTGCTTGTTCTGCTTCCTCCGAAGGCATTTGTGATTCCATGTGCCTGTGTGCTTGGCTGGGTAATTTTCAGCAATAGCACCAGGGTTCAATCATCTCTAGATCTGATCTAACTCCTGCCTTTGGCTGCACACATGCAATTCCCCACGGAACTCAATGGAAAGGGAATATGCACATCTCGGAGCAGCTTGTTGCCAGTGTGCTTATTTATGCATCCAGCTGCCTTGCACAGCTTTGTGATCTCCTGGTTGATATGTGGGAATCTCTTCATCATCTTCCCATCTGCCAGGTACACTCAGCTCCTGAAAATTACCTTCCCCAGCTGGTACCCACAGAAGGTCACTGTCCTCAATAAGAGTCTTGATGGGTGGCAGTCATGACATCATAAAAGGATGTCAGACTGCTATTAACTTACATTGTGTGCTCCTCTTGACAGGCCTCCTTCCTTCCTCTCCCAGTCCTCCTCCATTCCCTTACCATCCATCAGTCCCTGAAGGTTTATATGAGGAACATCTTGAAACCTCTTTAAAGAAAATGGGTTCAATCTTCCCCTTGATCTTTACATAAAACACCGACATCAAGAGGGAGACCCACGTCTGGGATGAACACACAGAATATGCTGGTTTCAGATGAAGTTTTGTGGCTATTAGGATCAGAAAGCCACGTGAATTCTGTGTCTGGTGTGAGTGGGCAGGAAAGCCTTCAGATGTTCCATGATCCCGAACTTTTCTGATCTTTTTCAGGCCATGCCTAATTAGTACCAAATCCAGAAAGCAAAAATTTCAGCCTGAATTATTTATCACCTCATATTTATAAAATGCACTGCAATACACATCATGGCCCAGTTCACAACAACTGCAGATAAGATTAATCTTTCACTGATGCCACACTCCTTAATATGAAAATATAATTATCTAGCTGAAGAGTTTCTTAAATTACATACTTTCAAACTAGTATGAGCAGAATGTATCCTTGTGTCTGGTGCTAAGCCAAGTGGAAAAAACATTGGAAGGAGAATTGACTAAACACATGTTGGCTCTGTCTATCAACATTTCCACCTTACACGGCCCTGTCAACGTCTCAACTCCAACTTGGTCTTGGATATGAACATAATATTTTCCTCCCTGAAATGTGATTCTGAAGAAGGAGTTCCAGAACTGCAGGGGCAGATTGAAGGATAAAGTGCTTAGGCTGCAGCTAATCCCCTGCAAGGTAATACACATTTATCTTGCCCAATATGGAAATTAAAAGAAGGACATCAGAAATTACTTTTACCTTTACTTAGAGTAATTAGTATCTGCAGGTGAAGTTCATTTACAGATGTGCACGGGAGGAAGCACAAAGTATTTGTTGCAAATGCCTTCGAGAAAAAGCCACACTTCCAGTCTGCACAGCCTGCAAAGTTCATTTCCTGCAGTTTCCTCTGGATTGCTACATCCAGAAGGATGTGTAATAAACTTTACGAATAAGTGTGTATAAATATCTCTCTTCAATTTATTGTACTTCTAAAAACCATTTTCTCCCTTGAAGAAACTCACAATGGCTACAGGAAAAGCCCACCAGCTGTTTCTCTGCTGATCATCAATAATGCACAGGAGAGTTGTAAAGCCTGATAGATGGATATATTGATGGCAAAGAGAGATGAATGCACTCCAGCCAGCGAGGAAGGCAAGGGGATGGAGGAGGGGATACTAGTGAGATGATAAAACAGATTTTCTTGGAGGAAAAATGCCCTTTTCAACGCAGGCCCAGTATCCTTAAAAAGTAGCTTTGTTGTAAGCAATGTGCAGAACGCCCCATTTTTACAATTTTATTTACTTCTTAAAAGATTATTTCCATTGTGTGTTCTGGGCATAATTTCACTGCTTTTGCTTCATGCTGCTGGGAGCTGAGTGTGTGTCCTCTCCACCAGAAACAGAAGGCATGCATTGCTTTAAGGCATAAACCAAGGGGAAAGGTGACAGGATCCCAAACACTGGCTGCCCGACTATCCTGCCTTGCTCCACACATTCCTTCAGCTTGCTACTTGTTTGAAAAACAATTAAATTTTCCGAATGACTCGGTGTTAATATAAATGCAATTTGACTGTCAGTGCCACTGGTGGTTCTGCAGTGATGGGCAAGAACAGAACTTTATCTCCCCCCAGGGCCTCGACAGAGAGCAGAGGGACATTAACCAGCATTTTAGGCAGCTAAGTGTGAAATACTGGTTGGGTCAATAACTTGCCCCCCACTGCTGTTATGTCAGCTGTCAAGGGCTGGCAAAGAGACCATCAGTGTGGAGTCAAGTGCAGGTCTAATTGCACTGAGATCTCCAGCCTGGACTCTCCGACTTCACGGAATATTCCTCTCTGCCGCTGTGTCACCACGAGAGCTCTGTCACAGCAGCACTGATCTGCTCCCTGTAACTGCCTTTCTGTGTGACAAGAAGCATAGGAAAATGGGGAAAAATCTGAGTTTTATAGGATGGAGCAGCTGTATTGACTCCTAGCATTCAGAAAAGCCCCATCTGCATCCCAGGTACGATGTTCCTGGGATCTGCAGGACCACAGCTGCACCCCCGTGGAAAGGGCTGTTCAAGGAGAAAAACTCTGCAGGATTTCCAGCTGATCTGCATTCCTCCTGAGGATGCTCTTCCAGAAGGCTAACATCTGGCTCCAGGTTTGGAGCCATCTTCGACTCATCTGAATACAAATTTAATGAATGCCAATTATCGTCACCATCACCAGTGATTCAAATATGGGCGAGTTCAGCTGATCTTGTCTCAATCTATTATTTAAAAGTTTCCAGTCACAAGTCCAGTGCTATAAACCATGCAACAGCAAAGCGAAACACCTCAACAAACCCCCCAAAATCAACAAAGGCCCAAGGTTTACCAAGGTAATTCTGAATTTTACCTGTCCAGCCTGCGAGGCAGCAGCAGTACCCAGTGACAGGGTCACACCCATCGGCGTGGTTACAGTCACAACGCTCACTGCAATTAAGACCATATGTCCCATCCTTCAAAAATATAAATAAAAAAAGCCTCTCAGTAATCAGTTTTTTGTTCTGAAATGTGCAAAAGCATCTATCATGTCCCTCTTAATGCTGAGTCGCATCTTTTAAATTAACATACAGAGAAGATAGAAACTCAGTGCCTAATGTTTCTATACAGAACCAAATGAAGAATCACTTTAAAAAATGATGCTCAAGAAAATGCAGATAACACAGCAACAGCTCTGATAAAATATAATGCAAAGTATAATACATCCACTCAGCTGCTAGAACCCCAATCTGTTATTTACACATGACTTCCTTCAGACACCGCCAGGCAAAATGAGATGCTGCCCTACTCTGTGCTCAGCAGGGCTGTGGTTTGAAGGGGGTGCAAGAGCACCCCAGTGGTACTCACAGGGCAGGGCTGGGCATAGAACTGCCCCAGTGGTACTCACAGGGCAGGGCTGCTCACAGAACTCCCCCTGCCATCCCGGGGAGCAGAGGCAGAAGCCATCTGCTGGCCTGCAGGCAGCTCCATTGGTGCAGGAACACGTCTGGTTACAGTTCAGACCCCAACTTCCACTTGAACATGGAATAGAGCAATCCACTCCTTGCCAACCTAAAGAAACAGGAGAGACAAAGAGCATTTGGGATGTTTTCATGAAAAAAAGTGAGGTAGAGACAGCAAGAAAGGCAGCAGCAGCTCTGTGATTCTAGGGCTGGTTTCTTAGTGTAAATTAAGACTGTTTTGGGGTCAAAGATTGACCCTTTCTTATGACCTCCCAGCTTCATCTCCCAGCACCTGTACATGCAGGGAGGGATGGATGAAGGTGTCACTGTGTTGGCTCTTACCAGATGAAGGTCTCTGGTGCCTCTCTGGGAACTGCTGGGGCAGTACAAGAGAGGCTGTGCTGCCTGTCAGGCTGCAGACCTGCTGACCCCTGGGGATGCAAGAAACTTGCCATTTGATGCTGCCTGTTTCTTGCCTCCTATTTTTTTTTTTTTGACAATGCTATTTAATATAAAGCAGCTATTACACCTAAAAAAAGACCAAGGCCATCATTTCTAGCCATTAAGGCTCAAATCTTAACTACCAGCCACACAATGACTTTCATTACACTGCAGCTGTATGTAATGGAGTTGAGCAGTAACTCATGGTTTATAATCCCTCATTAAATGGGGTTCTACAGTGATCCATTAATTCATGTTTGAAATGCCAGATTTTATCGTTATTTGCCTCACTTCTGGTTTAGGGCTTATGTGTGTCAGACAGGCATAGCTCATGTTGGGATTCTGGGGGAACATAAGAGACACCGTGCTGTGGAGCAGTGCAAGATTTCTCAGGGGATTGCTGGATGGATACATGGGTTATGCTCACCACCAAGCACGTGAGGGAATTATGGACATATGGGGGAAGAAAAGATGTCAGTCTTGCAGAGAGACTCTGGAGCAGGTAAGACTTCTTGTTTCCCCAGACAAAAAACCCCTTGCAGGCTCAGGGGACAGAGGACACCTGCACATGGCTGGGGTGTCCCTGTGTCAGGGCACAGGGAGATGGGCAGCTGAGGGTGGCAGCAAGGGCAGAGACCCAGGGCCCACCCCACAGTCCCAGCGTGGGGTTGGCAGCTGGGATCAGCCAGGAGCCCAGATCAGCAGGACTGGGGCCAGCCCAAGGCTGAGATGGGCAGGCCGGGTCTGGTGAGGATAAACATGGCCAGGCACAGAACAGAGCAATGGGACGGAGGAAAGACAGGCAGGAAGCTGCCTCTGCCCCTGTGCCCAGTGTGCCACTCCAGGCAGGGAAGGAGAACAGGGGCTTTGCAATCCTAGAGAAACAGGGCAGCAAAGGGATAAAGAAAACCATCCCAATGATCTGGGCATTGCTTTGCATTTCCTCTGGAGAGGAGCTATGGCTCTGCCAACACACTTAGTTCTGTGACCTGTTCCTGCAGCAGAGCAGGGAAGTCTGGCCCCTGCTCAAGGCAGAAACAAAACATCCAGTCAAGCCCCTGTTGAGCTTGGATACTTGGGCAGACAAGAAAATAGTGGGGTTACTGACTGCACAGCTGTGCCACTTCAAAAGGGGAGAAGCACTGATGCCAAATTGCCAACAATGGCTAAATCCAAATTTTGTTTACCTTCTTTGCAGTAGCACAGCCCATCCACAGGGGAACAGGCACCGTCGTTCTTGCAGTTACAGACTGAGGAGCAATTGGTTCCGTAGGTTCCTGCCATGCAGGTGATGGTGCAGTCCTCTCCCTGCAAACCCAAAAAACCCCAGAGTCAGCTCAAGGAATCGGGATTGCAGGAAATTCCCACCTCAGCACAGGGAGCCTTTCTCCACACAGAGAGCAGAGAGTTGTGAGTTGATTGCTGAGTCTTCAGCACTTGAGCAGTCACTGCTGCTTCCCCTGATTATGATGCAATTAGTGCTTTGATTGACTTGGAGGAAAGGGACAAGTTTCTGGCATTCGTTCAGCGGGAGGTGGGGAAGTTACAAAAACAAACCTCCTAGAACAGATGTTAGATCATTAAGCAAAACATCACTTACGAAACACTAATCACAAAATATACAGTCTGAAACCGTGCAAAGATTGCTCTGCATTTCTGGGGAAATATATTCCAAGAACAGGGTTGTTAAAAAGCTAAAGGATCTCGTGCATGCTCATCTTGCACAGACTGGCAGAGAGGAAAACGACATGGCAGGTGCATCAGAGCTTTTTGATGCATAGCTGGTACCTGCACTTGTTTTCAATTAATTTGCATGAGATTGGGACTTTAGGAAGAAGGTTGAACAGGAGGGATGTGTATGTCAGAGAGAGGAGGCACACAGCAGAACACGTGGGCCCTGTCCTATTTCTGCTCCAGGTGTGGGGAAAGGGAGGTAAAGGAGAGGAAATACTTACATTTTACAGAAATACAGTATATTTCAACACTACATTCTAGTAACACTGCATGCACTGATCAGCTTGTGTGGTTGAGAGACATAATTCTTACCAATACTGTACATCTGATACAACAAGGGAATTAAAATACGAGCACAATAAGGTTTAAAGGAATTGTGGTTTAACCTCACTAACTGAGGTTTAAGCCTTTATAAACTTACTAAGTGCCATGGTTGGGCCTACACACATTAGCATATACAAGGTATTTTTGATTCTTTGTGTAGTCCTGCCTTTCACATCACAAAGTAGCTCCTAAATTTACTCCTTCAGTGAGTCACTCTTTAATGACTTAGTTCTATGTCAGAGAAAGAGAACCTACTCCAAGTTAAAAAGTACCTACATTGCATGGTGTGACCTATACCATAGCTCAGGGGAAAAGACATTGGTCAAAATGTGTTTTTGCAGGTGAGAGGCTTTGCTGTTTGACAGGAGGATCCATATATCAGGAGATAAATGCACGCCACATCAGGTTCCCTGTGTTGTGGCAAGTTACCTCCAGGAGCCTGTACATCACACATCAGACACTGAGACAGCAAAAGGAAATATGGACAGACTTCTGAGCACCATAAACCCCCCTATGCTTTCAGCAGCAGTTCTGCCTCACACCACTGTGACTCATCCTATTTTCTACAAAAAACTCCAGGTTTGGGGGAAGCAAAGGAAATGGTTAAATATGTGCTGCTCACAAGCAAATCCCGCAAGCCCCTGACTTTTGAGCGAAGGCAGTGTTTGTAAAAGATGCTATCTTTGACCTTGGTGGAGTAAAACAAGCTCCCCTGAAAAGGCCTGGCAGGAAAAGATGCTGCCTCGACAGCCAGCGAATCCAAAGCACGCTGCCCCTCATTACCCTGCCAGCATGCCCATGGAATGAGCTCCAGGAAGCCAGGCTGGCAGAGGGGCACTCAGCCTCCACGCCTAATCAATCCTCTGCCTTTCTCCTGTGTGTGACAATTAGACAGCCAATTAGTGCCACTTAGGGACCAAGACCGTGTGTGAATGAAACTCCCAACTCATTCCACGTCCGACACAGGGCTGCTGGTACTGCCAATAATTTCTATGACAACTGACCTTATCTGGGTTTGAACTAGTGATCCAGAAGGAGAAAAAAATTCCTTTGAAAAGGAAAGTGGAGCAGAGTTATGCAGAGCTAAAATATCCCCTTGGGAAGCAGATTAACCAACCAGAGACTCACAGACTCATCCAGGTTGGAAGAGATCTTCAAGACCACCAAGTCCAACCATCAATAACCCCTAAACCGTGTCCCCAAGTGCCACATCCAGCTGCCTCTAAAACACCACCTGGGCCAGGGGTGGAGGCAGCAGGTGGATTTCCATTCTTCAGCTGATGTTCTGTGACTGCAGAGCAGCTCCTGTTGGGGGTCAGTTCTTCCTGGCTGAGGGCCCAACTGGGGTGGATTCTGTGGTTTTCCGTAGTCAAACACACTTCGGGCATCCCAAAGCAAAGGGATGTAACTCCCTGAAAGGAGGTTGTAGTGAGGTGAGTGACAGGACAATAAGGTGAGGAAGTGGCCTCAAAGTGCACCAGGGGAGGTTTAGATTAGATGTTAGGAACACTTTCTTCACAGAAAGGGGTGGAACAGGCTGCCCAGGGCAGTGATGGAGTCACCATCCCTGGAAGTCTTCAAAAAACATGTGGATGTAGCACTTGAGGACATGGTTTAGTGGTAAACACAGTGGTAGTGCTGGGCTGACAGTTGGATTTGGTGGCTTTAGAGGTCTTTTCCAACTTTAAAGATGATTCTGTGATTCTTACAAGCTGAACATCAGGCTCTTCCATCTTTATTCACCACGGCTCTGAGTTCTGGCATTTACTTTAATGTGTTTTATTTTATGGACTAACAGAGGCTGGGCATTCTGGCTGCCCACCACCTACACACTTACTTTGCAAACAAACCTAAACTGAAAAAAAAAATACCTGGCTTAATGAGATTTCTATCCCCAGGTTTGACAAGCGAGACCTTCAGAGCTCTCTGAGTGACAACTGCCAAATACACTTAACTTCTTAATTACATAAGAGGAAAATGCACTTGAACTATAGCACTGGCTCTAAGATTTTATTAATTATAAATGCACACCCTGTTATTAACATTTTGAACTTGATTTGGGAGAATGACCTCGGAAATTAAATGCATTCAGGTACTGTTAAAGATATGTAAATTCTCCCTCCCTCTCACCACCTGCCCAAGTGGATAATGCTGCAGTACAAGTCTATCCAGCTGTTAATGAGTTACATATTCTAATAAACTGATTTCAAATGTGCTGTATTGAATCTTCACTCTTGCAATATGGCACTTCATATTTCTATCCTATTTAGTAAAATTAATCAACAGCTGTGCTCCTTATGTTGATTATTCTCTTTTTTTTCTATTAAGATCGGGAGGTTAATGAGGACAGTGAATGCCTGGATGTGGTATCCCTGCTAGGAAGGAGTAGCTAATTCAATCAAACATATACCCCCAAAAATGTTAAAGTTGTATTAAGAAACTGAGCTATAAATAACATATATTTTACATCTCTATTATCCAACTCAGAATGACCCATATGGACATCACAAACTTTCCAAAGCACTTCATTTTCTTCATCGTTTTCACTTAGAAGGCCCAGTCTATCAAAACCTACCCCTGACATATATCCAATGTATTATTTCTAGTTTTAGGGGTCAAATCTAACATAAATGATGGAAAACAATGGGATGTGGGGTCAGGGCCAGCTCTGGGAAATGCCCTGCTGGGTGTGGAGCAGCTCATTCCTGCCCCCTGCTCTGCATCACACACCTTCCAGCATGGCAGGGGCCACCAAGGATGGGGTGTCCCACAAATCCACTGCTGCTCAGGGAGCCTCTTTCTGTTTGAAATCCAGACCTGATGGGAGCACCTCAATCCTGTGACCCTAAAGGTGACTAAAAAGTCCCCTTTAAATCAGAATGAATGTTGACAGGGATGTAAGCAGCCCCACCTATGACATTCCATGCCTGTAAGTACTTCAGAAACACTCCTTGTTGCTGTTACTCACAGCCCTTCCCAGCACCCCGAGAGGTTTGGGCATCCAGTCCTTGTGTTATGGTTAATTCTCCCCTATGGATTGAGGGTGAGGTCCAAGGAACCAAACCCTATTAATAACTCAGCTGCCAGCTCACATCCATCAGCATCAAATATTAATAGACTCTGAGGGCCAGCACATTCATCTTTCCCAATGGCAGTCAATAATATGTCTTGTTTCTGTTCAGGGAGAGAGGGGAAGATTTTCTTCCACCAAAATTATTATTGTTCAATATTAGCAGAGCTTAAAGACACAGTGCTGCCTTAGGTGTTTGCTGTGTTAACAAGCTCTGGCCGTTTCAGAAAGTGTTTTCCCTGGATTAATGTTGCCCTAACAGATTACATTTCTTGTTTCTGTTTAAAGTACATTCCTGCTGTAAACAACGACCAACTCCCTTTAAAATCTTTTTCTGGTGATCAATACACAGACTTGTATTTATTCCTGTACATTTTGGATCAGGCCTTTCAATCTCTGAAATGCATTTTCAAAGGAGGAAAAAAAAAGCACTGCAGACCAATAGGGGAGTTAATAACCCAGCAATGGTCAACAACACCCAGCAAAGTCTGCACCCATACCTGGTCTATCTATCTCAAAGTCTGACTATTTAAGGATGTGAAATTAAGGATTTCAGAAGCAGCTACAATCTACAGGAATACAATTCCCTTGGAGGGCTAAAGCCTGGTTCCACTGAACTCAGTGGCAAAACAGAAAATCAATTTTTCAAGGCTTCCGCAATGCAGAAGAGTAACAGGATGTTATTGAACTTGGCCTCAAGTTTGCATGACAAAGACCTGTGTGACAGGTTTGCTCTTGAGGTTTAATCTGTCAAGGTGCTGAAAATCCTCCACTCCTGCAGATTACTGGGGAGGGGACTGACAGCACTGGAAGACAAAATACTGGAACCTTTGGTAACCTGAAGTGGGACTCCAGCTAATGGGAGATTTTTAGCAGTGTGTGATTCCCTCCCTGCCCCTCCCTGTATGTCTGTGCAGGTGAATCAGAGGTGCAGCCCCTGGCACAGCCACGCTCGGTGCTCGGCGCTGGAGGGGAAGAAGGGCACGGTGCAGTGCCTTCTGTGTGCAACAATACACAGAGTAGAGACACCAAAGGCTGGGGCTGTTTGTACCTGATGCCTGTGAGCCCAGATAAGCTGCTCAGTATGGATTTAGCACCTGAGAGCATCTATTCCTATGTACACACGTTCCGTGGGACGCCGGCGTGCCGGGACACAGTGCCTGTGCACCGATGCAGATCA